GTCTTGTATATTTTTTAAAACGACTCGTGCTGAATCGAAGAAATTTACATACTCGAGTGGCAGCTAACGGATTAAAGACACGAGAAGATCCTCGTGTTTTTTTTTCAAGTTTCTTTTCAATCGCGTACGAAACATGTACGATGGAGCGTCCCTCGCATGCGAAGGACTACGTTACGTCAGCTGACTTCGATCCCGCAGCTTCATCAGGATTCCCCGCGCGAGTGACGGTAACGTTCTACCATCCATTTATGTCGTACCACACGAAGCACGGCTCTTCCGACGCCTAGTCGTCGCAGTAATCATGACTCTTAACAACCCTAAATCGATTGCTACTTGGCACACGGCTAGATTCGTCGTTACCTAAGAAAGAAGCAATCACTCCTTCCGTCTAGATGTTGTAAGTTTAACGAGAAAGCAAGTCCAATACAGTCGTACATTCGAACCGTGACAGATGTAATCGATTTTACGACGCTTAGGTACCGACGAAATAAATGTTGGATTTCTTTGGATCTGAAAGTCTCGTAAACTTCACTTTTTCGACATTCAATTGTCGTTCAAGGGACGACAATTTTTTGCTTCTTTCCCTCGTATGCTTCTTCCCCCCTTTAGTAATCCAATTGTAAGAAGCCTTTAATTTTACAGGCCTGCGAGTTTTTTCTTTTTTTTTAAGATGCAACAGTGATTTCCGACGTAATTTTGTGCGCTGAATCCGAATCTGGCCGCCGAATTTGCGTAGCACGTCACGTTTTTGAGTAATTTGTAATTGAATGGTTCAAAAATCGCTATCTTGCCGAATTTCATGAATTTATTGTGAGGAAACCAAATTTTTTGAAATATTTCTGTCAATGGCATCGTATAATACTCACTTTCGTCTTTCAAATTCACTTTCGATTACCGCCGCACGATTTTTTTTCGCTGAGATATATAAGTATAACGTTGTAAGAAAATTTACGTTAATGAAAATTTATATAGACATAAATATGGTAGATCCATGATCTTGAAATTTGGAAAGACTGACATATGTCAGGTTCGGTTGGCCAAAAAAGTATTGTAAAGAAATGTCTAATACAGTTGTTACACATTTTGATAAATTTTTTTAAATTTTATGCCTTTTTATTGTGATTCTATTCGCCATATTGGATGCGCCATTTTTAATTTCGAAAGGTGACAGAAGGTATTTAAAAATGTATATTTTTATCGTAATTTTGATTCGTAGTGAAATAGAGAGGTGGCACGGTTGATTTAGAATGGCTTATTGGATCCTTATGCATGACCAATCTTATAACTTGTATATCTGAGTGAAAAAAAATCGTGCAGCGGTAATCGAAAGTGGATTCGAAAGATGAAAGTGAGTACTATGCGATGCCATTGACAGAAATATTTCAAAAAATTTGGTTTCCTCGCAATAAATTCATGAAATTAGCCAAAATAGCGATTTTTGGGCTATTAAACTACAAATAACTCAAAAACCTGACGTGCTACGCAAACGCTTCGGCGTTTCAGCCAGGTTCAGATTCAGCGCACAAAATTACGTCAAAAATCACTATTGCATCTTCAAAAACAATTTTGAAGAAACCCCCTTTTTCGCAGGCTTGTGTTTTTTGACGAAATAAACATTATGCGTACAGCTGTTAATATCGGTCCTTGGACGCACCGGATATTCTTCGTTTGCATTACCCTGCCAGTAGAATCTATTACGAATCCATCGACGAGAAAGGGCCACTCGAGGTAATCGATTCGGGATAGTGACCGTAGTGGATACATAGGAAGAGAGGCCGCCTTGGCCGGGAGTGGCCGTCGACCGGAATTGCAACGCGCGCGGCGGTTTACCCTTCGAGATGTTAGCTTTTCGTCAAAGGATCCTATTAGTATGCGGTTAGTATTACGGCGCGGTGTATCAGGACACATTGAGACAACGACGCGCTATCTCTATTACCGATTCTCTGGCACGTGAACCCTGTCGACCCCTTGGCCGTTCCCGCGGGCCATTCTGCTGCCACCGCCGATTGAACACGCGTGTATGTGTGTGTTTATGCCCGGTGACATTTCTCGACTTCCTCGACGACGGTCTGCTTTGTGCCCTCGATAGAATCGAGATCAACGAGATCAGCCAATAAGACTATTAGCTTGCGCTTCTTGGATCCTTGACGTTGATTAGAAATCGCAAGCGCATTCCGACGTGATCCACCGTAAGAGATCGATCGCCCTTGGGCAGAAGATACTTGGAATACTTTGGCGAATATCATTATTTACGAAGGTACGATAGCTTTACGGGGCCCGAGATGTATATTGGGATTTACGTATATTTTCCCTTTTTGTCGCTATTATGAAGATATTTTAATTACTCATTCAATAATTATTTTAATTACTCATTCAAAACAGTAACTCTAAATCATTTTAACCAGTTCACTGCACTGAGAAAAATCGTTTGATTTTACCAACAAAACGTATATGATTGAAGGCATTTTGGTTAAATCAAACAAGAATTTTTAGTTATCATGATAAGATTCGATTTTTTATAACTATAACGTTTAATAGATTTTACTACAAGGATTTGATTAGTATTTTCTGGTTGGATGTATAAAATTTCTTGTTACATTAATTTCCTTGCTTACTCTCTTAACTTAACTCGTATTCAATATTTGCTATAAAATGTATATGAAGAATTAGTATTAACATTAAATCCAAAGTATATTTTTTTTTCTTACGAGCAGTAAGAGGCCAGAAAGAGGACGCAAGCTCTCTGATTGTGTGTGTTTGAGCTGCATCTTCTTCTTGCATCACTGTTTATCAGTTTAATTTCTAACAAACTGAATTTAAAATAATTTATTCAATAATCTGGATTGAATTTATCCAATAATCTTGTTGGAATTCAGAATATTAAACTTTTGAGATTAGATGGAAAAAATTTTAGACGACTTGGTGCTAGAGTTTAGTATTATTAACCAGAAAATTTGGTAAATTTAACAGGAAGAAATTAATCAGATTCATCTGGTAATTCCTACAAGAATTCTTGTTCGTCCATTTTCCAACAGACATACTGGTTGAATCTACCAGAATTCTAATTAATGCAATCAGATTTTTTTCTCAGTGTATGAAATGTATATAAAGAATTAGTATTAACATTAAATCCAAAGTATATTTTTTTTCTCTTACGAGCAGTAGTGCCAGAAAAAGGACGCTAGTTCTCTGTTGTGTGTGTTTTAGTTGCATCATCTTCTTGCATCACTGTTTATCAGTTTAATTTCTAACAAACTGAATTTAAAATAATTTATTCAATAATCTGGATTGAACTTATCCAATAATCTTGTTGGAATTCAGGATATTAAACAGACTTTTGAGATTAGATGGAAAAAATTTTAGACGACTTGGTGCTGGAGTTTAGTATTATTAACCAGAAAATTTGGTAAATTTAACAGGAAGAAATTAATCAGATTCATCTGGTAATTCCTACAAGAATTCTGGTTCGTCCATTTTCCAACAGACATATTGGTTGAATCTACCAGAATTCTAATTAATGCAACCAGATTTTTTTTTCAGTGTAATAATAGAATAACGAAATTAATTCACCATACTAAATCCGCCATTTAAAATTTTAAAATTTTAATCCCAAATTTGTCAGCGACCCGAAAAATGTGGGTGTTATCAAGTTTCACGCAAATCCGTTGAAAATTACAAAAAGCAAAGTTATTCATAGTGGACATATATGGGTCATTACCAATGAACTGGTTAAATAAACATTTCTATAATTTACTTGATTCGTCTATATTTGTTTTTGAAATGGGATAAATTTGATTGATTAGTAAATTGATATTAAAGCATTAATAAATGTATCCTATTGTATCTTTCTCTTTATCTCTCGCTTTACTTGTTTTTTTATACTTTCACAGAATTTTGAACAAACATATTGTACATTTGCACTTCGAAAACGGATTGTCGATATACAGATGGGTTGTCGAATGATTATAATTGTTACTCAATTAAATACTGTTCCATGTTGCAAATCACTTTGATCTCTTGTTTCGCAATAGTCTATATAGAACGAGATTTAGGTGACAAAAGAAGGAAATTACGCGATCATTCATTGGCTAACGTACGGTCATGGAAACCGCGTATGTCGCCACGGGAAACTATATTAATGATGTAATAATTCCACAATTTTGTCCGACAGAATTACGCATTTGTTAAGCCGCACATATAATATAACGCTACCTTTGACCATATCAGTATATTAATCTGTTGCCCGTAGGGAGATCACGTCTGAATGCATAAAACAGAATAATCTTTGTTTTTCATTATCAAGTATCGCGATGTATTATTTAAAAAAATTGAAATTTTCGATCTCTTTTTGCGCTTTTCATACAAATTATATTCGCAAAAACTGTCTTCAACACTCTACTCGGATTCTTCTTCAAAGATGACAATTATTTTAAAACAACAAAAGATATATCAGAATTAAGTAATTTCCTTAAATAATTTTATTAATTTTAAAATTTTATTAATTATTAATTTCCTTAAATAATTACCTTTATTTCCCTATCGCTTGTCTTCGTACAAGATAATCCTTTACTTCGCGAGCAATTTACTTGAAAAATAAGGCTATTTTGCGCATCATACACATGACTGCATTAAACTCGAACGAGAAGCCAAATTGTGTCGCTGTAACACGTACTAATTAAATTGAAATTAACTTGGCAAACACTAGTAAATTCATTAACGACGCATAATAGTATCGAAATGCGCGCCCCGGTCGATCAATTTCATATATCAAAGGATGTTAAATCCCAGCGAGACTAGTCACTCTATTACGCTTAATATCGATACTCGTAACTTTGATGCGACCGTGTTTGTGACCGGAAAATCACGCGTTCCCACGCGTAGAAATGTCGCCGCGGGCAAAAAGCAAGAAGACACAAAAGCGAAGTAGAAGCGCCGGGCGGTCTGCCAAGTCGTCCCTTTAATTGTCAGCATATTTTAACCGTAATTTTCTTCTGTTCCAGTTGTCTGAGCCCGAGATCTGCGTTCTTCTACGAGTTCCCGCCTAACGGTAAGTCGCATATTCGCAGCTTCATTTGTCTCCCTGCTTAAGATTTAAGAGGCACAAGGGGAAAACTTGAGCCCCTCTTCGTCGCGTTGTTCATTCGCGAGGCGAAATTAGGACGCGAATTTACAAGTATGCGCAGCGTTTCGCGAGCGTGGCTGTCATTCATACGAATAATTATTAACTTGTACAATTGTAATAACAAGCACTGCCATTTAATGGTATTTGCAGGGGTAGACAAAATAATATGAAATATTTTATATTTGTTTATTAATAACGTGTTGGGCTATCATTTGCCTTTAATACAGCTTCAATTTTCCTTGGAAAAGAACCATACAATTTTTGAATAGTCTCCAGTGTCCCATTATTTTATCAAAATATCTGTCAATTAGTTTAAAGATGATGGAGGATATTTAAATCGAGTAATTGTGCCGGTCAGAGAAGATATTAAAGTTAATTTTTGATGCGTTCGAATCAAGATTGAACTTTTTCAGCTGTATGCACGGTTGAATTACTCATTTTGAAAAATTGTATTATTTAATAGAAGAATGGAACAATATTCCGTTGGAGACTATTTAAAAATTATATGATTCTATTTCAGAGAGAATTGAGGCAAATGGTGGCCCGATATCTTGTTAATAAACAAATACAGTATTTATTTTTCAGGTGTTCCCATTATTTTGTCTACCCCCTGTATAATTTCGTGAAAAGTTTCAATTGTATATTACGTTTCTCGTTTATTATATTCGCAGTATCGACTTTCCATGAAACTTCCATAAATTATATTTATAAAGTAATAAACGATGAGATCATTTTATAAGCGTAGAGTCGTTACGATTCTTCCTTTTGATATATCGACATTCGTAATATATAGAAAGATCGCTTTACGAGAAGAGACACAGAGTAACTCTATAATAGATTGAGAAAACCATACTGAAGCTTATCAAAGCAGAACGAAGTACAACAGAGATTTCAATGCAGTAGGAAGTTATTTAATGCATCGATCGTAGGGCTTTACATGATGCATACATTCTCGTGGCGTGTATACAGGGTGGCCCCGAATGTTCCAGCCAGACTTTGAGATCTTATAGGAAATTTAATTCTAAACATAAAATATCCTATAAACATGGGTCGAAAAATGCTTCCTTAAGAAGTTATCGCTCAAAAACCTCTGATGAAGGAAGAGCAAAAGGTGAAAAGAAAGTGAAATAAAAAGAAAATGAAACTAAATAAATTTCTTGAAAAACGTCTTTTTATTCATTTTCTACTATTACGTGCTATTACTAAAATATTAGTTAAAAAAAAAATATTTTATTTTCATAAAAGAAAAACATTTTTATCGTTTTTTACAAGAAATTTATTTAGTTTCATTTTCTTTTTATTTCATTTTCTTTTCATCTTTTGCTCTTCCTTCATCAGAGGTTTTTGAGCGATAACTTCTTAAGGAAGCATTTTTCGAGCCATGTTTATTGGAAATTATTTGTCCAGAATTAAATTTCCTATAAGATCTCTATAGAATTAAATTTCCTATAAGATCCTATAAGATTTCCTATAAGATCTCAAAGTCTGGCTGAAACGTTCGGGATCACCCTACATACGTGAAGGCGGACGCGATTTTCAAGAGAGGATGCTTTGTGTGCACGTCCTTACCAATGAAATATATCTAAATGATCTAACAATGGGAACGATACCTTTCTTCCTTCCTCCGTGCGCACGTATTATGCGAGAATGTACGAAAATCTCGCCACGCGCCTTTGCGGGTAACCGATCGCCAACATTAACAAACAGCTGCAGCTGGAATCGCTCGAACAACATTGTTGTCCCGCGTCTCATCCCTTATACAAATCGGATAATGCCGATCGTAGAACGGGTACTTTGTAATTTTCAAGCCGAGAGAAGATCGCAATCCCTCGATAGCTTGACTTGTAGTCGTCCCGTAGCTCTTAAGCCTCTTAACCATCGTCACGAGTGATAAAATTATTTACAGATCTACTTATCGTGACGAAAAAGGACGTAGCTTTCTATGCAAATTTGATATTCGCATGAATGGAAATTTTATCGATTGGATAAGCATACCGGATATAGAATAATGTAAAGATGAGTATTAGTTTCTATAATATCCTACACAGTAAAAAATGTGTTAAATTTAACATATTTCACGTGTCCCAATTTATCCACTCTAATTTTAATGTTAATTTAACAGAAGGCAAGTGTGTAAATAAATAACACAAGTAATATGTTTAAAAATTAACACAAAAGTGTAACACTTAAACTTTATCTGAAAATAAAGTTTATGTTAAATTAACATATTTATAATGTTAAATTTAATTAAAAGAAAACGTTATTCTTACATTTTTATGATCAATGACAGACGAAATATGTCGATTTAACATATGGAAACTGTTATAGAGAGAAAAATAACACAACTTATCTGTTTATTTTAACATATAACATATTTTATCAAAAATTCGTGCATTTACATATTAATTGTGTTGTTTTAACTCTTAGAAACGGTGAATATGAATTCAACGCAGAAATGTCAAAATAACGCAATGATAATATGTTACATTAACATAAGAGTATGTTAAAAATTTAATACAAAAATTTTTACACGAGAAAACAGAAATCAAAATGTTTTTTACCGTGTATATCTGTTCTTTTATGTCGTACACGGTAAAAAACATATTGTATTTCTGTTAACATTTTCTCGTGTAAAAATTTTTGTGTTAAATTTTTTACATACTCTTAAGTTAATGTAACATATTATCGTTGCGTTATTTTGAAATTTCTGCGTTGAGTTAATATTCACCGTTTCTAAGAGTTAAAACAACACAATTAATATGTAAATGTACGAATTTTTTATGAAATATGTTATATGTTAAAATGAATAGATAAGTTGTGTTATTTTTCTCTCTATAACAGTTTCCATATGTTAAATCGATATATTTCTTCTGTCATTTATCATAAAAATGTAAGAACATTTTCTTTTAATTAAATTTAACATTATAAATATGTTAATTTAACATAAACTTCATTTCCAGATAAAATTTAAGTATTACACTTTTGTGTTAATTTTTAAACATATTACTTGTGTTATTTATTTACATACTTGCCTTCTGTTAAATTAATATTAAAATTAGAGTGGATAAATTGGAACATGTAAAATATGTTAAATTTAACACAAAATTTTTTATTGTGTATTATGACATTTTCAATGAATTTACGCGCAATCGTGTACATCTGTTGTATAGTAGAAAGAAATTTTCGAATGAATGTTTACCATCAGCTGACACCATCCGTGTAATAATCGAATCGCGTATAAGAAATATCCGATGTTACACTTTGTATTACTTCGGGGCGCAACGTTTGGATCCACCCTCGATTTTGGTCGATGAGATACGCGCTCGAAAAGGTAGTTATATTACTAGTGCACATGCAATCGGCCTGGCACCTGGAAGAGAAGAAATAAAACCAAGGCGCGATGTAGCGCGCGGTGGAATTTTTCGAGATATCGAAAAACACTTTAGAGATCCTGTATTGGAAAAGCGGCTGGGAGGGAGAAGGGCGTGAGACCGATCGCGGAACGCGAGGGGAATGGAGGGAAAACTCGCGTTGATATTTCATTTCTATTGACTTCTACCGTCACCCTCGTGCACGTTATACTCTTTCCACCTATGAATACGTAATTGAGATCTAGTTCTCTCTCTTTCTAATATATCTTTAGACCGATTCTGTTTTCTGCTTTTATCTTCTTTCCATTCGAAACGGCCGAATTTTGATAATTTCATTTAGAATATGTTGCTGATCTCTTTAATGTTTTTGTTTGGGTTCTCTTAATTTAAATTTTACTTTGCTAGTGTGATTTATATGCATATGTAATATTTCCAAATTATTTTATTTAATAAAATATTTGTCTTTTGCAAATATTTATATTATATAAAATATATTTATATTATATATTTATGCAGGGTGATTCATTTTAATCTTAACAGGCAAATATTTTGAAAAATATGCGAGATACGAAAAAATGTTTCAGACAAAAGTTATATGGTTTTAAAAGAGACATAAGATGGTGTCATTAATTTGAGCTTAAATAGTTACTTGAAGGTCATGTGAAGATCATCCTCAATTTTTTATGGAACCACCTATTTCTTATTACATATTCTTGTAGCTTATTTCGAGAACTTTCCAAAATACTATAATTAAGTTAGTTTTCATTAAGTACTTTCCGAGTTATGAGGCTTGAAATTGTTTCTTAATTTTACACAAACCGTAAAATATCTTGTAAAATATTCATTTTTCGATTACCTTACTTTAATACTTTTATGTACAAAATAATGAGAGGAATTAATTGGTGTAAAGAAACCACATTAGTTGTTTCGAAAAAAAATGTAATTTGCAATAACAATTACATATTTTTTCTTAAAAATAACTATATGTTTTCTTTACACTAATTGATTCCTCTCATTATTTTGTACATAAAAATATTAAGGTGAGGTAATTGAAAAATTAATATTTTACAAGATATTTTACGCTTCATGTAAAATTAAGAAATTACTTCGTCTCATTCAAACATTTTTTCGTATCTCGCATATTTAAAATATTTGCCTGTCAAGATTAAAATGAATCACCCCGTATTATATATTACATAAAATATAAATATGTGATCCTTATATAGTTTCAGAAAAAAAATATTCTAATAACAAATCCAACAATAATTAATAAAAATATTCCTCATTTAGGATTCGCATCGCGTATCGAGTGTTACTATGATTCTCGTTACTCGCTGAAATTGCGAAATTCCGAGGTGTTCGCATCCGATGACGAGTCGTTGACACCTCTCGACCGTCTTCCGACAGCGGTGAAAGGGGCGTTGGTGAAATTCTCGATTCCGTCCCTCGCGCCGCGTCTCGCCGCGCGGCTGAGATACTCCGTTGAATCGTGGGGACTAATCAGTTTAGGGTGGAAACGCGCGAAGCGGCGCGCGCTTAACAGTAATTCCGTGT